AGACGTTCGTGTTGGAGAGGTATTCGCTGAATGCGATGCGTGCGCGGAGGCGTTCGGCGCCGAGGTGCACGTCTAGCTCGGGTTGGAAGGATTCGGATGTGAGGTCTATGTTGATGTGCTCGAGCAGGCGAGTGGCGGCTTCGGTGTCCTGAGGAAGCGTACAGCCCGCGTACGACCTTCCGGCCCTAGTTCAGTTTATGTGGTTCACTACAGATGAAGAGCAACAAACACACCGCAACGCGAGCTCGACGAGCATATCATCGTCCCCATCCTCCACCAGCGCCTCGACAGCATCCAGTGGCAGGAGGTCGAGCCTCTCCTGCGCACGCGCGAGTACAGCGGGTGTGATCCTTACCACGCTCGTCGCGCGTGAGTCGAGATCGACGTCTGCTAAGCGCCATCCGTCCTCAATCGAATCAAGCTCGTAGTCCACTGGCGTGATCTCAGATAGGTATTCTGCATAGACGCGTAGGCCAGGTTCGATGTGTGGCATTGATGCAGGATAGGATGTGGCGACTCCCGATCGACGAGACGAGGGCAGAAGCAAGAGAGTAGGGGCTCGTGTCAGGCAAGACAAAGAGTTGCATTGCACGATGCATGTATGCATGTATGGGTTCGAAGGCCACTGGGCCGCTTCATTCCCATTGTAAGACCGAAAGAGAGAAGCTCTGAATGAAGAGCTGACAAGTTCGTGGAAGCTAGCAGTAGTCCACGGTTTTCGACTTCGTGGTACGAGTATTCTCTTCATGCTTATGATGTGGCATGCATGTATAACACCATAGGAGGCAACGGACGACTAAGATCAAGATCAACCCGCGACGGTTGGGTGCGAGTGGTACGAAGGCGAAGCTTTTGACCTGAGGTAGCAAGGATGTTGACCAGCTCGCAGCCCATTTGCATAGCCAGTGCGTGCTATCATAGCATTTGATGCGGACAGCTGAAGAGCGATGGCGAGAGGCAAAATGCTGCAACATGCGGTAGTCGGCGCAGAGCTTCGGGGTTGCGGCTTTTGCATCATTTGTGCCTGTCAGTGTCCCGCGCGCCACGACGCCCAACTTCTCCGGCTGACTTTCACATGAATGAGCGCCGCCTTGACCTCGACGTCCATGCCGTCTTGGCGGTTCAACATCGCAACTGTAACTTGACCATATAACCCAGATACTCCCAAGCCTGTTCCTCAGTCTATGCGCTAGGTTCTGCAGGTTGATCCCAGAAAGAAATACGAAGACTATCGCTACAACTTGGACAGTGGACTTCATCTACGCGTTGATGTGCACATGCTCCAGCACAGTCTCAACGCTACGCGCGGCGCTCAAGCCGAAGACAGAATCAAGCCTATCTCCGGCCCCGGGCGCTTGGAATCTGCTTGGTTCCCGCCATCTGGGCAATGGGTGGGCTCAACGGAGGCGCTACGCATCGATCGCTACTTCTCCGGGTCAGGGCGAGAGCATCAAGAGAGCATGGTCACCTGGTCACGCGCAGATGGAACCGTATTCAAACCGTATATTCGAGAGTGATCTTATGACTACATGACGCGTTTTCCGAACATACTGGATGATATATAAACGAGAACGGTCTGACTCTGCCGCCTCTCCCGCTCGTCTCGTCTCGAGTTCTGTGCTGCCCATCATGCGTACTGCGGTTGCGGGCGCATCGGTCTTACTCGCGGCTCAGGCCGTGAGCGCTGCGAACGTCGACCCAACAATCCTCGACGCATGCCCTGGCTACAACGCGACCGACGTCTCGACCACCGGGAGCGGTCTGACGGCGACGCTCACCTTGGCGGGAACTGCTTGTAACGTCTTCGGGAACGACATTGAGACGCTTCAACTCAATGTGACTTATGAGACCGGTTGGCACCTCTTTCGGTCCCAAGCGACGCAGCTTGCTAACCGCAGTTTCAGACACGCGCATCCACGTCAAGATCACTGACGCGAACAACGCGCGGTACGAAGTACCGGACTCTGTGCTTCCGCGGCCGTCTGCGAACGAAACTGTCGACCCGTCCTCGGCGCAGATCCAGTTCAACTATACCGCGTCTCCATTCTCCTTCACCATCCTGCGTTCCTCGACTTCCGAAGTTCTCTTCACGACGGACTCGCACCCTCTCATTTTCGAGCCGCAGTACTTGAGGCTCAAGACGACGCTGCCTCCGGACGCGAACATTTACGGTCTCGGCGAACACACCAACTCTTTCCGCCTTGACCCTACGAACACCACGCTTACTCTTTGGAGTCGCGACGCCTATGGCGTGGCCAATGGCACGAATCTGTACGGAAACCACCCCGTTTACTTTGAACATCGCCCGGGAAGCGGCACGCACGGAGCGTTCTTGCTCAACTCCAATGGCATGGACGTCAAGATCCTGCAGGAGGGTGACAACACGACTCTGGAGTACAATGTCATCGGCGGTCTCTTCGACTTTTACTTCCTCGCCGGCAGCGAAACTAGCCCCGTTGAGGTTGCAAAGCAGTATGCCGAGGTCGTCGGTACGCCGGCTGAGGTACCGTACTGGTCTTTTGGTTTTCACCAGTGTCGCTTCGGATACGAAAGTGCGTGTTCGAATTTGGTACTCTATTCGATCAAAAGCCTGACACGTTCTATTCATAAGACTACATTGACGTAGCGGACGTGGTTACGAACTACTCGGCAGCAGAGATCCCCCTTGAGACCATGTGGACTGACATTGGTACGCTTCTAATCATACTCGCACTATGCGGCCTCCGTCTAACATACGGTGCAGACTATATGGACAGGCGCAGGACCTTCACTGTTGACCCGGACTACTTCCCTATGAACCGCATGCGCGAGATCGTGGACCACTTGCACTCTAACGACCAGAAGTACAGTGCGTTCGCAAGAAGCGCTTGTCCATGATTTGAACTGAGTTGTTCCTCATCGCATCAGTTGTCATGACGGACCCCGCCATTGCCTACACGCCTGAGGAGGACTACGCCCCGTACCTTCGTGGTACGGACTTTGACATCTGGATCAAGGCACCTAACGGTAGCGCCAGTCTTGGTCTTGTCTGGCCCGGTGTTACCGTGTATCCTGGTAAGTAAACCTCCGCATATATGCATGTTTCCGCACTCATTGTGCGAACAGATTGGTTCCACCCTAACATCTCTGAGTGAGGATTCGAACGATTGAGCATACTCTCGTTTACTCATATCTCGTCTGCAGCTACTGGAACGGCGAGTTCGCAACGTTCTACAGTGCCGAGTCCGGTCTTGACATTGACGGCGTCTGGATTGACATGAACGAGCCCGCAAGCGTGCGTCCCTAGTCCTTATCCTTCTTCCCGCTCACGACTTAATCTCGTAACCGCAGTTCTGTACCTTCCCTTGCGACGACCCCTTCGGCCAAGCAGTCATCCAGAACCTTCCCCCTGCGCGCACTTCCGCAGCTCCGGCTCCTGATGCGCCTCTCTTCAACGGTGCTGCCAACCCGCTCAAGAAGCGCGATGTGATTCCGAACCATGACGGCGAGAATGTCCTGATTCCTCCGTACGCTATCAATGATGCTGCGGGTAACATCTCTAGCAACACTGCCTACGTACGTTCGTTCATCTGGGAGAAGAATACATGCTGACTCTGACTGCAGACGGATGCCTCTCATTACAATGGTCTTTTGGAATACGACACTCGTGAGCAGCTTTTCCCTGTCCGGCTGTACACTTCGTCTGACACGTTTATCTGGACAACATCTTCGGAACCATGATGAGCGTGGCGACGCGCGAAGCTATGCTCGCTCGTCGCCCTGGTCTTCGTACTCTGGTCATCACCCGTTCAACCTTCGCCGGAGCTGGTCGCAAGGTCGGCAAGTGGCTCGGAGACAACCTATCGGACTGGGTGCACTATACAAACTCGATCCAGGGAATCCTGAGCATGGCAAGCGTATACCAGATCCCGATGGTCGGCGCCGACATCTGCGGTTTCGGTGCGAACACCACCGAGACGCTTTGCTCGCGCTGGGCGACGCTTGGGGCATTCTACCCCTTCATGCGCAACGTGAGCGTTCACAAGACGAATACTGACGATACTAAGTACTGACTACCTTTCCAGCACAACGGCGACACCTCGATCTCTCAGGAGTTCTACAGGTGGGAGAGCGTAGCTGCGGCTGCTCGTAATGCGCTCAACATTCGGTCAGTCATCCCATAACCCAAGCTGTACTTGCAAATTGACACCTCACAGTTATCGTCTGATGGACTACATATACACTGCTTTCCACGCCCAGTCTATCGACGGAACTCCCGTACTGAGCCCTCTCTTTTTTGTCTACCCCAACGACTCCGCAACGGCCTCCATTGACCTCCAATTCTTCTACGGCCCTCATATCCTCGTCTCTCCCGTCACTGAAGAGAACTCGACCTCCGTCGATGCCTACTTCCCCGCAGGCCGCTTCTACGACTTTATGACTGGCGCCGTCTTCGATAGCGAGGGCAGCACCGTCACGCTCGACAATGTGGACTACACTCAGATTCCTCTGCATATCCGCGGCGGTGCCGTCATTCCGTTGAGGGCGAACGGGACGATGACTACTACAGAGCTCAGGCAGACTGACTTTGAATTGCTCGTTGCTCCCGACGCCGATGGGTTTGCGAGCGGCTCGTTGTACGTCGATGACGGTGTCAGCGTGGAGCAGAACGCTACGACGGAGGTGACGTTCACGTTTGGCAACGGCACGCTCAACGTCAATGGCACGTTCGGCTACGATCTGGGCGTCAAGGTTGCACGCGTGTTGGTGCTGGATGTGCAGAGTGCACCGTCGGGCGCTCTGGTGGCGGGCGAAAAGGCAGAGTTCACGTTCGATAACAGCACGCAGTCGCTGTCTATCAACGTCGGGCTGCCGTTTGACAAGTCGTTTGAGGTGGAGATCCAGGCGTAGAGTATCAATCTATATGCTACCTAGTCGTATCATGGGACAATAGTATACGTATTATACTTTTTTCTCGTCAACCTACCAAACTCATTGAGTGATGGGGTTTACCAACGCTATCGGATATGGTGTAACGGCTAACATTGCCGCCTCTCAGTATTGCGGGGATAAGACCCTAAAATCGGATCGCGGCAGCTCGGGGTTCGATTCCCCGTATCCGAATCATATACGCTCGACTTCCTTTTTCATACTACTTAAATTGGTGTCTAGCGTAATCTTCAGTCCGCCCTCAAACACCGAACTCGCGCGCGCCCGACTGCGTTCCGCTCATTTTGCTCTCGACCCCCACCATCCACATCATGTCCTCAAAAGCTTCCTCATCGAAACACGCATCCTCGTCTTCAGACGCTAACGAGCAGAAAAAGCGCAAACGCGCAGAGAAGGAGAAGAAAAGCAAGCGGACTGGGGAGCTCCCTTCGGCGCCGGAAATTGCGGAGGTCAGCGAGGATGTTGATATGCTTGGACGGCCTACGGGGCAATGGGAGCGAGCACATCCAGTGCGTCTCTTATGCTGCATGGTATAGTGATATACTGGTCTCATATTGCTTAGGGACATCCGGACTGGGCCATGAAGCTGCCTGAGGGCGCCGAGCCTTTGCCTCTCGACTTTGAAATTTCGTACGGCGAGTTCGACTATGACGCTATCAAGAAGGACCCGGAGGTCGAGCTGTGGCTCGTACGTGTACCCAACAAGGTGCGGCCTCTATAACCTGTCATTCTAATGTAATATGCATTTACAAGTGTATTTTGTAGCTCAAACCGAAACGCCTCGCCGACGCCTCCATTCGCGATCCCGAGCAGGCCGCTCTGCACAACGGACATGCGGGATATATCACTGATAGCAAGACAAGCTATACCGCCTGGTTGACGGACCGAGAGAGGAAGGAGGAGGATATGGGGCGGGATCAGAGGTTGCCCGGGGAAGAGATGTTTGGGATGGACGTCTTGCTACCTAGGCAGAAGAAGGGCGGGAAGTTGTACCAGGGTATGTGTTTTATTTACTTACCTTGCGCTATACGTTACTAACCAGTGTTTGATACAGCGCCGAAACCTATTACTCGCCACCTCGTCATCACTGCATCTCCAGCTCAACCTGACGCTCCCAAACTCGAGGAAGGGGTAGAAGAGATCGTGTACAAGAACGAACCGCGACAGAACTATCCGCTTGAACTACTCACGCATCGGTTCTTGCCTACTGGTAGCGAATCTGCGCGGCCGCTTCCTGGGACATCAACGGCGCCCATGGTTTTAGACGACGATGATGAGAAGGAGGACGAAGTTGTGGAGGTGGAGGCCAAGGAGAAGGAGAAAAAAAAGAAGAGGAAAGGTCACGGAGACGAGGCTGGCGAACGCCGGAGCAAAAAGGCGAAGACCAGTCGTGCAGAGTAGTCTCTGCGACATCGCTGGGCTTCCGGTAAACTCGGGCGAACGGGGTCCTTAACGCTCCCTCCAGTCTCAACCTTCCAGTCGAACGCTCTGTGCAGTTACAATTCGGGTCAAGACGCCCTTGGCTGTTTATGTCATATCTCTACTGAACACCCTCTGCATCTCGACTCGATACTATCAAAGCGGCTGTCAATCAATTGTTTCGGCCTCTTTGAATTGAACCACAATGCCTAGTTCTGCCGAGATCTCGACCACGCCCTCCTTAACTAAGTACTAAACAGCGCCCTCGCCCCTTCTGAACTTCCTAACCATCACGTTCAGCTCTGAAGAGATGTCGACCATGCCCTCTTCAACATCTTCGGGACCAACGACGCCCAAACAATCACCCGCCCATTTGCCCAAAGGAGCTCGCGTTATCACATCATCGTCCTCCAGCGAGTCCTTCCTGAGCCGAGGGACGAAACCCCAGTCGTCAGTGCATACAGTAAGAAACAGAGCCGCTGCGCCGATGGTAAGATGTTCGGAATAGAACGGCCCGACAGGCGGAGACCACATTCTGACTTCGCGAAGGGACTCGGCGCGTACGAGCTGCCGTTTCGTAAAGTTACACAGCACTGCTGTGTCTTCCGACGGGAAGATAGGCTGAATGCGCCGCATCATGTCGCGAATGCGCTGTACATCAACATCAGGCTTGCGGATGGCCCGCACCAGTGTCGAGCGGTAGTCTCCATTGGTAAGTTCGTCGGCGAGCAACTTATCCTCGATGTTCTGGATAATCTCCAAAGGACCTTTGAAAGGCGTAGTAACGCCCGTGAAGTACTCGCTCGTAAACTCGTAGAGCGTCAACGGCCTTCCCGCATACTCCGACAACACGCCCGCCTCCTCTACCTTGTCCATATCGGCACGCACGTCGTCTGGGAGCAGACCGTCGACGTCTTGAGCATGCCATAGGTAGTCTCCGATACACGCGATGCGACATTTGTACCAAGTGAGTTCTTTCATGATGTTTGAACGGATGCGGGTAAGGCAGGCAAAGCCCGGAGCAGCAAGCAGCGGATGAGCTGCGGCTAAACGCGTGACGTGGGGTGAGAGGAATAAGAGGTCGAATATCGCGTCGATCAGCTCTACAGGCAGGTCGGCTAGCTGCCCCAGGTGAGATCGGGGGAAGACAGGAGATGGAGCGCTGGATTTTTAAGGTCAGGATGACGCTCGCGCGGTCATTGCACACTACTGACTCGATCAACCGCGAAGTAAACCTGAACTTGCTCAAGGTCTTGTCAATCGCGTCGATTCCTCCGATGTACTCCCCGAATTTTCCCAAGCCACCGGCCTCCCTTTGTGTCAGGTTCAAACTGCGTCGTGGTGTATGTTAGTGCATCTAGATTCCGGTGGCGGAACTCAAGACGGTGCTCACAGCTTGAAGTATTGGCCCATTGCGTGAATTATTGCGCGCGGCGAGATGTTACCGTCGACCGATGAAACAGAGAGGGATTCTATAGTCAGATACGCAAGTCGGATGAGGGGGACGAGGGGCGTCCAGCTGGGGCCAGCGAGTGACATAGCATCTCGCTTATATATGACTCTGCGACGGTGACGTTCATCGTCGCCACGGCGCGTTGATTGGATGTGAGGCGGCTGCGCTTTCTCTTGCGAGTCACTAGATCCCTCAGAATCAGATATGGGGCGCATGTGCCCACTATATTTTCCAGGACGTTGCAGCCCACGGTTTGATGCATGTGGCGTGAACTCTCACACGAGTTAAGATCAGTCAGGACTCAGGGCCAAAGCAGAGGCGTTGTGGCATTACATTCGTACGCATGTGCGAATACATGATTCTCTTAACTAATTATCCCACTCCAGGAACTTATCCAGCATTTCAACGACTGACTCGGAGATATCCGTCAGGTCTTCCTCCACATCATCCGGTCCGACAACCTCAAGGCAGTCACCAGCCCACTTTCCCACCACCGTCCGAAGCTCTTCACGGTCTCCGTCACCTTCGGGACATCTGATGAAACTCCAGTCGTCCGTGCATACGGTCAGGAATAGGATGGTCGTGCCGATGGTGAGATGACGACGGTAGGATTGGGAATATTCGCTCAACTCGACACCGTCGCTTTCGATTGCCTCATCCAAGTCCCAGCGGGCGTCGCGTACACGAACTTGTCGCAGCGTCTCCGCGCGTACGAACTGACGCTTCGTCAGGTTGCACAGCACGGCTGTCTTGGAAGACGGTAGGGTAGGTTGAGCATGCGAAAGGATCTTGTCGATGCGTTCCGAGTCGACGCGGTTCAGACGTCTCAGAGCGCGTTCTTCCTTCCACGAAAGATCCTCGTATTCCCTGTATTGGACTTCTTTCTCTCTGCGCTCAAGCACATTCCAAGGTCCCACAGAGTTGTAGTCAACCTCTTTGAAATGTCGAGAGGCGAAATGGTACAGATCCGGCCCGTCGTCGGTGTCTGACGAGTTTCGTGAAGTGAGCGTGACGGCGGCATTCATGTCTGCGCGCAAGGCATCCGGGAGCAGCCCTTCATGGTCCTGTGGCTGATACATATAGTCGCCGACGAGTACAATCCGATGACGGCACCAAGTGATACTGTTCATCGCCTGAGAACGGAGCTGGACGACACGAGAGAAGGCCTGCCGACCGAGTGCTGGATGCGCAGCTCCGAGGCGCGCGGCGTGTTGTGGCACAGATATATGCTCGAAGATCATGTCTATGAGCTCCGCAGGGATGGAAGAGAGTAGTCCGAGATGCGAGCGCGGCGTTACAGACATCGAAGGGCTGTATTTCATGGTCATAATCCATAGATGCCATTGACCGCAAACTAAAGCGCTCACATATCCTCCGGTGGGTTTGACGGAAATGTGAACCGACTGAGTGATTGCTGGATAGCATGGAAGTTGCCGTAAATACTCTCCCCGAACTTGCCACCGAATCCGCCCCTTTCTCTACGCGTTAGGTTCAGACTAGAGCATATTCACTGAGAGCCCGGAACGGGGTGAAATTCACACCCCATCGACGTGAAATCCACTTTTCACTCCACTTCGAGGTGAATCAAGAATTCACCACCGC